TGTACAATATCAACACCAAGATGCACATGTATCATGTCATGGGTATTTATGAATATTTACCGCCTTATTTGGTATATGATTCCCCGACATACACTGCATTCTTCTTTCTCTCTATTTGAAGGCCTTCCTATTGTCATAGTTTCCACTTGACGGGGCATTGCTTCTGGAAAAGAAGGACTCCAAAGCTACACTAGTGATAAATAGTAAGGAACTGATTAGCATCTGCCAGGGATTGCAGACTGTTTGAAAGAGGTACCATTTCATTGGCAGGAAATTTTCTTTCACTGCTCGTTTTTTTTTCCTTTTCTCAAGTTGCTGGTTGTCTTCGACTAATAAGGTGATCTGGATTTCTGTGACATTTGTGGTGTTTATCGAATCAGTAAGTTTATGATTGATTTATGTCAAATGTTTACTTTTGATTCGTATATTCGGACTTCTTATTTATTCCAAATTGCACGAGAAAATCAGGTGATTATGTATTAATAATATACTTGAAAAAATACGAGGTAGCTTCTCATATATAACTACGCAGAAGAAAAGGGCGCGTGCAAAAATAATTTTTTCAAACCCGGCAAGTGACCTTGACCTTGACATTGATCAATCATTCTGACCAATCAGAATGTCTGGTTTCTTTCTTTCTTTGCCCTGAATTAACTGAAAACTGCATTCATCTTAACTAATCAGAACTGAGAAATTTTTTCATGTATATTATTAGAAAAGTAAATGAATGAATAATTAAAAATTTAAAGTGAATCTCCACACTTTTTCAAACGCACTTTTTAATAGATCTGGCACAAAAAAATTTCCAAATTTCTAGCTGCCACTTCGAGTTTCCCGGGAATAGAGCGCAATGCACCCTGGGCTGAAAACGTGTAACGGTTGCTCGGTGCACTCGAGGTGTAGGTTTTTCGCTCTTGCTGATGCCACGTATATTGCTGTCATCTAAAAAGCATTTGGTGAATACGTCACAGATCGTCCTCATGGAGTGTTCGATCGGTGGTCGACAATTTAGAAATCAAAACCTGACGCACCGCAATATACTCCATCTTCGACTTCACTTTCCTGTCTCCCATGACATAAAGAGTGCTCCGGCTCTAATCTCAGAGGCAGCATTATATGCGACTGCTCTAAAACCCTTTCAATTGTGTTCAGATATATCCTTAAATGATCAAGCGTATTGACCCACACTTTCCCTTCCCAACCCCTACCCCTCATGTTTATCTTGTCTTCAGTTTTATGACCCTTTAACGGTCGATGGTCAAAATCATTAAAAGCTTCACATAGAACTCGTGATCTAAAAAAGTTGAGAAGATAATCCTTGATCTGTAGAATTCTATGATAGAATTGCATTATTATAATTGCTTAGATGTATTACGAGAAAGGTCCCTCCGGCAACTACAACGCGGTGCCTCAGTTTTTATGATCGATAGATCGATGGTGAATGAAAATGCATGGTAAATTTCGTCCTGGCGTTACGTCGTCACAACGATAAATCGTAGAGCGCCCAATACATCGTCACCAAAATAGTACTCTAGTTAATTTGAAATATCTGATTCCCGCAATTTGTCGCAGAGCCAGGGAAACGCCAAAATCGATTCGATACTTACACTAGCAATACACGCACCACCACCAGTTCGAGAACAAAACTGATAACGGCCTTTTCTGAATAATACGTTATGTTATGATTTCATTTCTCTTTCTAAAATGCATGCAATCTCTCATTGCTTCATCGGTATTATTCATATTCATATTGGAGATGTCTATCTTTATGCTGATGACACTACCTTATCTTTTCTAGTGAGAGTGTAGATGTATTTTTTTATGGCACGTAACATTATGGTTGACAATTGCAAAAATAGTCAACTCACAATACATCCAATCAAAACTGAAGCATTGCTAATTAGGAATATCCTTTCATTGGACCATTTTGGATTTAATAGTCTGAACATGTTTCTCTAGTCAGAGATTCTTTTGTGCAAAAGGTTAAAGCAATAAAACCAATGAAGTACCTACCTGTAAATACTTTGGAAGAGATGTTTTTTCCTCTTTGGAATCGATACATCCGAAAGCAGCGAGAATTATTTTCAACCTTGATTTGTCTATTTCTGATGTTAAATGTCTTTTGAATTCTCCGCTACGACCCATCACCAGCTCTATCAACTGTCCTACTTACCAAGTGTCTAAACATCTAGCTTCTATCCTGAGCCCTTTACGAAACAACAAGTACACTGGTACGAACAGCTGCGATTTTGTGAAAAAAAGTCTCGGTTTGTAACATCACCACGCGGGAAACTATGTTATCTTTCGATGTGGTATCCCTCTTCACATCTATACCAACAGCTTTGGCGTTCGAGGTGACTAAAAACAAACTTCAAACTGATCCGACCACCTCGGAAAGAACAACCATGTCTTTTGACAGCATCATGAATTTTCTTGAATTTGTACTTGATAACAACTACTTCGTCCTTGATGGCACTTTCTACAAACAAGTATTTGGCTGCCCAATGGGCTCACCTATGAGCGCAATTTTGGCAAATTTGGTTATGGAACACAGCGATGAGAGAGCTTTAGTCGCCACACCCCACCCTTCTAAGTGGTGGTATAGATATGTTGACGATAGCCATGTCTGCATCGTTCGTGAACATCTTACAGAGTTCCGCTCCCACCTTAACTCAATTAATCAACACATCAAATTTACAGTGGAAGAAGAAAAAGACGGATCCATTGCATATCTGGACACCATGACAACCAGGAATCCCGATGGAGCTGTAAAAACTAGCGTGTACAGGAAAACCACACACACTGATAAATACCTTCAATTCAACTCTCACCACCCTTCTCAAAACAAACGCTCAGTAGCTAGAACCCTTCTCGACAGAGCAAAGAACATCCCTTCTACCGACGCAGACAGATAATCCGAAATACAACACATGGTCGACGCCCTGAGGATCAATGGTTACACCGAACAATTTATTAGAAGCTGCCAAAACACCACTGGGTCTACAAATTAGTCTGAAACCAACAGAGGTTTTGTCACCCTGCCATATCTTCAAGGAATTTCAGAAAAAAACTGCAATAACTTTAAATCAATCCAATATTAATGTTGCTCACAAACCCGTAACGACCGTTGGCTCCTTTCTAAAAAAACCTAAAGACAAATTTAGTAAAGACTTATCGACAGGAGTGATCTATAAAATATGTTGTAAAGATTGTGACAAAGTTTATTTTGGTCAAACATCAAGAGCCTTAAGATCCAGGATTAGAGAACACTAGAGAGCGATTTTCACGGGAGATAGAAATTCTTTATAAACCCAACACTGTATTAAATACAATCATGATTTTGACCTTGAGGACGTCAAGATCATTGACCGCTGTTCCCAATGGTCGAAAAGATTATTTTTAGATGCGTGGCATTCAATTTGTGAACCGAATGCCATTAATGAACACATTTACATTCCTGACATTTACAAGGCCCTTGGCAATCCTAAGTGACGTTTCTGCGGCTCTTTTTAAAGCACTCATTTGCTTTCGTAGCAATTTCATTGCTGAAGAAGGTTATAGTATTTTAAGCGAAACGTCTTCACACAAAGTTTTTTAGTCAGTGGCAACGAAAATTTTTATTTGTTATCATGCCCGACTACAACTATAGTATTTTTGAAGACAGAAATCGCTTAACTGCTAACTTTAGTCGTTAAATATCAATTCCAAGGGAGTTGACACTCTAATTGAAGATTGAAACTCCGAATTTTTATTCAAAATTTCAGTCTAGATGAGTTCTCAGGGAACGGTTGTCATACAGATTCATGGATGAGCAAAGCAGAAGACACAGTTTGCAGATGCAGTCATTTGACTCATTTTGCTGTCTTAGTCAATTTTAGCGGTGGCCCAGAAGTTTTTTTTTTTTTTCTTTTTGTTGTATTTTGCATCCTGAGTAGTAATAAGTGTGTTGTGTCAATTCATCTGTTGTTCATTTTAACTTTTGCTACAGCTCTCCACTAAGGACTTAACTATTCTGGAGATCATCACCTATGTAGGATTAAGCCTTTCTGTCATCGGAATGCTTTTGACGATAGCTTTGTATTTTTCCTTTACGTAAGTACTGTTTCTAAACACTCAGCGATCTATATTACTGGATCAATTTGACCGTGTTAGATAAATTAGGTCTGTGTGTGCAAAAAGAGATCACATCACTCAAAGGTTTGAAGCATACGAAGACTGTCAACCGTACTTCACTTTCAGTCGCTTGAAAACATCTTTAGAGATAAAAACAACAATAAATTGTGGACGATGTTCTTTACAATTTCCTTGGAACTTTGTACACTCTGTATGTTGCAAAATTCATGAGTCATTATTCATAGTGCGTTTGATTTACGGTGTTCATGCGTTGGTTTGTTGCTCATTCTTTTATGATTACTAGATTTCTTTGGCATTGGCCTTCCTTTGCGTTTTTATTGGTTCCCGTGGAGCTTTTTCTTTCGCTTTGCTTAGCGTCTGAATTCATATTAACATTAATATTTTATTTCATTTACAAAAGAGATGTCCGACAACGACAACCTCTATCTCAAATACGACTTAGTCTGCCTCTTTCCCTTGGAGCTGGACAAAATGATCTTTCTGGCTGGAGTAAACGCTCCAGAAAATATGGTAAGAGGCTCTCCACTGTTCGTGGAATTTATTCAAATACATCATCCTTGAAGGAAACTTGAAAATGACAAATTAAATTTTTGGTCTTTACCCCTTTGCTCTTGCAAGCTATTTGTGTCACAGTAGCAGCTCTTATGCAGTATTTCCTGATGGCTGCTTTCTGTTGGATGCTGGTGGAGGGAATTTATATCTACCTGTTTGTTGTGAAAGTTTCCAACATCAACACAAAGTTGCATGTCTATCACGTCATGTCATGGTATTTTGGTTCTACAGTAGTACTCATTATACATTGTTAGGGATTATTTTCCCACCAAACTCTTTCATAATTATTAACGTAAAAATTTCATAATAGGTTTGCCAGTCATTATGGTGGCCATTTTATTGAGCATCGCTGCTAAAAAGGATGGGATATTAAACTATACCAGTGATGAACAGTAAGAGGCATAAAATGTTCAGTGTCTTTTTCCTGAATATTCCTGATTTTTTTTACGTCTACTTTTTCAAGTATTGACTATTGCTTCGTTTTATTTGTTTTTTTCCTCCCCTTCATCATCGTCTTAATTAATTTGACCTATATCATCTTATCATATGGACTTCGTCCCTTTAGGCCAGCCTCCAACCTACAGTTTCTATGCGTGAATATCACTTTCAGACACATGACTGGTTGGGAATATTGTGAACCTGAAATCCAGCAGTACTGACTCTATTTTGCCTTTGTATTTTTTTTCTTTAGTTCTTGGATATCCTCAACTAGAGATTTGATCTGAATATTTGTTACATTTGGGATTATGATTGAAGTTGTAAGTTTTAGATATTGATTTTCTTTTGTCATTGGTATTTGTGATTCTGGTTTAAGAATTTTTGTGTTCAACAGCCACACTAAATACAAAACTATATTTAAATCCCCTCCTTTAGATCAACATTTTGATTCTCGCACAAGGATAAGGGAGATGACCAGAGTGCAGCCAATAGGAGACAAGCAAATTCAGCAAATTCGGTGAGATAGAGTTTTAACATTATGATAAAAAAAGACAGTTTCTGTCTCAGATTTTAACGAAATCAAATTCTGAATTAGATTTTTAATGATATTCACCCATCTTCCTTAGTTCTTAGTTGATGTCAGTAAAGCATAAGGATTTCTGACAACCAGAAATTATTTTGAGGAAAAAATGGTATTTAATTTTAAAAACCCCATATTTTACATTTTTATTCGCCTTCAGAATTGGCATTAGGGCATGCGTGGTGATGATTGCCTTACTGGGTGCCACATGGTTATTTGGTCTCCTATCACCGTTACACGAAGCTTTCGTTTACATTTTCACCATCCTCAACTCTTCTCAGGTTAGTGTTCAATCCTCTTATTTCATATTTAGAGTCATCCGAGTGTCTTTATTACTTCATGTTCAAACATCGTCTCTATGGTCAGATAACATTAGCCAAAGAATTATGAAAAAATAAACCTCAAAGGATAAAGCAAAAAAGAAAAAAAAAATGTCAATGAACGGGAAACATTCTTTCTATTTTGTTTTTCATTCTCATAACTTTAAAGTTATTTACATATCTTAGATATTTGAGAAAAAACATTTAATTTAGTAAAGTTCAATTTCATATTATGATCTTGAAAACGATCCTCCTTTTTTCAGGGTTTCCTTATTTTCGCTCTTCACTGCGCGAAACAACCAGGTAAGTTCGATATGGAAAAAAGACATGTAGTATGGATAATTTGATTGAAAGCTTGAATACACATTTAAGTAATTTTTTTCTGATTACTTTCCTCGTCTATTCGCAGATTAGAGAGCGGTTCAAAAGAAAACTGAGCACCGTTTCTCCACTTACAAAAAATGGAAACTCCACAAGGAAAAGCTCACAGGTTAATCTGAGTGATATGGGCGGTGTAATTAAAGGCGGTTAATCTGGAGTCTTAAAATGAATCGCATCATTGAATACAATCTCGCATTCTGATTGGTTAAGGAAGCGAAGTACTTAGCGTGAAATTGCTATTTGAAAACGAGGCTAAGTGATATTGTTTCGCATCTATGTAAGGATAACAACTATTGTCAAATTGTTACAAAGTTTTGTGGCTAAGTCAGTTTAAAATGTTTTCAAAACCATTGTCACCTTTTAAAGAGCCAAAAACAAAAAAAGCGTTTTTCAAAGTGAGCCTGAGTTGAGCCTGAGGTTCTTCCCTGTTTTGAACTGAACTTTAAATTCTTGGAGGGGCACGAAAAACCTCTTTCGCTCGCGACAACGCGAAAGCGAGAAAATCTTGTGAACTTGGCCCAGAAAAAAACAATCTCCGAGGTAACAGGTCACGTCAACCCGGGTTGAATATCCACCTACAGCGTAATCTTTTAGTAAAAGAACGAAGGATGTCAAGCAAGTTGGGTGGCTTTTCAATCCTACGTACTACCTTTGCGAGAAATTTGCATTGTCTCGACAAACTTGCACTTCCATCAGTAGTTGACAATAATACAAAAGCAGTGAATAACGGCAGTGATGGTCTAACAGCGAGAGTTGTAGGTAGGCTGTTCACCAATGTGTCGTTCAACAACCCTCCAGTGAATATTTCCATCAACTTTCAGAGGAATGTTTATCCCAACGATAACTGGTAATGGCAGTTGTCTGTAGTGAATTTCTACAGATAAAAAGTTGGAAGCTTTTAGACTTTTCGTGAAACACTTTGTTTTTAAAGGAATAAGATATCAATTAATACACGTATTTACACTTCAAGGTACTTACCTTGCATCAATCGCGATTGGAAACTTTCAATGCCTTCGCTTGCATACTTCATTTCACTTTTGCCACCAGAGGTAAAAGGTGTAAATCATTTTCCTTCTCGAGCAAATCATTTGGAAATTTGTAAAAAAAGATGTTAAAAATAAACGACTAATAAATTCAGTGAAATACCACAACTATCGTTTGATGGTGTGAAGCTTGTTTAAAAAGTTTGAAAACGAATGTAAAAAACCAGGTTCAAGTAAAAGATGTCACAGGTTTAAAGGTGCACATTGACCTTGCTTACTATTCGCTAACGCAATGACAGTTCTGACAGTTGACTCCGAAATGGCTTTCTATAGCGCACGCTCAGTCCGGATAAAAACAAATAAAATTGTTGCTGTTTTCTTGTTTTACTATTTTTATTCAATGATGCAAGCAAGGAAAATTCATCACCTGACTCGTGAATTCCGCTCAAAATTGCACTCGAAAACCCATATCGCACTCATCACTTCGCCATTCGTGCGGTGTTGGTTTTCGCGTGCATTTTAACCCCGAATTTCCTCGAGCCCCGACCGGACCAACACTCAAGGTCTTAAAACAATTGAGAAAAATGTGTTTCCTTTCTATAACGTCAAAGAAATGGTTAGCTATTGTAGTCTTCTCGGATAGGGACGAATAAATGGAGGTCCCGTCTCCAGCAGGGTTAGGGGTAGGAGACGTTAATTTCCCACACACGAGATTACAGTGTGGTGGATGCCCTCCCCTGGGGTGGGATGGGTGGGTTTACTGGGCCTGCGGTAATTGGCTCAAGCTGTCGCGGTGTCTCTACCTTTCTGCAAAGTTAAATAAATTTAAAAAAAAAATAAATTTCCTCAAACTTTCCTATTGAATTTGAACTGAAAAAACGCTCAGCTTAATTAACTGGATCAAGCAGGCTGAGAATAAGAGGTGCTAGATATTTGTCTACATCTTCCCCAAGGAGGTAACAGCTATCTATAGAAGTTGAGTTGAATAGTACTTGCGGCTATTCACGAGACAATCATCGTTCGCAAATAACAGTATTCGCTTGTGTGATACTGATATAATCGATGGTAAGCTAGCTTTTGAGAGTCATCAGCCTTTAGTGCTGTTTAAGCTCTTGACAAGATGCAATTACCTTATTTTGATGAAAAATAACTGATTTTACCCTATAGTATGTTTAAGCAGCAAGCTTATATTGAAAGCAGCGAGTATTTCGCATAATTTTAATCATTAGCTAAATAAAATGGTTAATTTGTTCTGTTTAACTTATATTAATCTACAATATAGGGACATGTTAGTAAACTTTGTAACATGTAGTGTTGGACTTCTTTGCATATACTTCGTATTCGACTTGATTTTAACAAGCATTCTAATCAAACAACAAACATATGAAATACATATATAGGAACTGCGGTTATGAAACGTATATGTGCACGATCCTTCGCAGGAAAGCACCATTTAAGCAATAGTGAAATTCAGATCTGAAAAAAAAAAAAATTCAGGCCTGTACGGGATTCGAACCACTGACCTCTGCGATACTGGTGCAGCGCTCTACCAATTGAGCTAACAAGCCAACTGGGAGCAGGCCTTCAAATTAATTCGACATAATTATGTCGAATGAATTTTTTTCAGGTCTGATTTTCAATATTGCTTAAATAGTGCTTTACTGCGAAGGATCGTGTACATATACGTTTCATAACCGCAGTTCATATATATGTATTTCATATGTTTGTTGTTTGATTTATCATCTACGGGTTTAATTTGATGGCCTGCTCCCAGTTAGCTTGTTAGCTCAATTGGTAGAGCGCTGCACTAGTATCGCAGAGGTCAGTGGTTCGAATCCCGTACAGGCCTGAAATTTTTTTCAGGTCTGATTTTCACTATTGCTCAAATAGTGCTTTACTGCGAAGGATCGTGCACATATACGTTTCATAACCGCAGTTCATATATATGTATTTCATATGTTTGTTGTTTGATTTATCATCTACGGGTTTATGTCGAAATAATTAGATGGCCTGCTCCTAGTTGGCTTGTTAGCTCAATTGGTAGAGCGCTGCACTAGTATCGCAGAGGTCAGTGGTTCGAATGCCGTACAGGCCTGAATTTTTTTCAGGTCTGATTTTCACTATTGCTTAAATAGTGCTTTACTGCGAGGGATCGTGCACATATAAGCATTCTAATGTTTTCCATTCTCAAATTTTTTTCTTGCGCGACATTTTTTTTGCTTGTACAGTGGAATCCCGATTTCGCGAACCCTCGATTTCTCGAACCTCCCGATATTTCGAACCAAACCTTGTTTCCCTTTGATTTGCTTCACTTGTAGTTTCACCCCCGATTTCTCGAACTCCCGATTTCTCGAACCAATTTGCGTTTCCCCTGGAGGTTCGAGAAACCGGGATTCCACTGTATAACAAGATGAAGTCATTTTGATTGTACGTGTTGAGAAACCTCAACAAAACATAAAACTACTGGTCGAACAGCAAACAGCATCTCATATTCTTATTGCCATAGCAAGAAATCGTTAATAATAAATAAACTAATCAATACCTGGTCAAGATAAATAGTTTACCAAATAACTGAAAACAAAGGAAGGAAATAGATTTTTATCCTTCAGCCAAGTTTTTTTCAAACTTAATTTTTTCTCATCCTGAGGTACGAAGCACTCTTCATCGTCGCAAATGTTTCGATAGCTTTGAATTCAAATTAGCGCACTACTAAAATGCAAAGGAACCGATCATTCAAAACGCAAAGAAGGTAAAGGAAAGCGTTTAGTTTACTATAACTATATAAAAGGACACAACTTTAAGTTGAGACAGCTGAAAATTTGCATCAGTCTGGCTTAAAAGATCATTAAAAGGGAGTGCAATTTCTTGGGGTTTTAGGGCATAAATAGGAGAGACGAGGGTAACCTCTCTCCCAACCTTCACCCCTTCCCCACCCCTCCCCCCTTATATACGGTAGGTTAATTTAAAAAGAGTATGTGAGTTACGCTTTGAGAGCAAGGCGAACAATTTGCTGTAAATGACATACTGCAAAACAACTCTCTTCGAATTGAAACTTCACAACTTCACGTTTGCCGTTCGCAGTAATAGAGGAAAAGTCTCAATCTTATGAATTTTACCGCCTTGATTTACATGCAGTAGTTATTAAAGAAATCCAAGGACCAGAAATTTTTGCCGCTAGAAACTTTTTATAAGTCATCTATGTTGACAGGTTATGATCGACTATTTACACTTCGGCGGGCCAAAGAGTTCAGTTCGAAAACACGTTTTTGTTAATAACCAGTGTGCGTCTCAATATTATACCAAACTTTTCCAAGGATACCATAGTTAAAATAGTAATGCGTAGTTTGAGATAATATATTGACTTAGCCAAGCCTAAAAGCGGAGCTCACAAGTTCGTAATATTAATACTAACATATATTTACATTTGCCAAGACTCGGCTGAATCACCCCTCCCTTAGGCACGTACGTACGTACGTACGCTCGGCCAGTCACCTGACAACCAAACGAAAAGAGGTTGACAATATTCCACGCGAAGCGCGCGTGGGAGAGCCGCTAAAAAAGAGAAAGAAATTGAAAAACACTACCCTCGAATGCCTAGTACTGTATCCTTAATGCAAAACGGTATTTTATTATGGGAACACGCACGAAAAAAAAAATATATAAATACACAAATATATATACAAGATATATTTTATAAAGGAACTCGCTTTCATCCATTCTTTACTTGTAAAAAGCGACATGAAAATCGTTAGAGCTTTCTGAATTGACGATTGCAATCTTTGTTTCACAAAACTGTTCAAACTGCTCCGTCATTACTTTAACTTAATTTTTCGTTCCTTTTTTTTCCAGAATGTATTTTCCTGAAAATTTCGAGGACCCCTAAGGAAACAGGAGGTTGATTACGAAGCATTATGTATATGCTATTAGTTACCAAACCGTCTATATTGGAGGAAAATGCTAATCAGGAAAGTATTGTGAATTATAAGATGTGCGTGCTTAAACAAAACAAATTAATTATTGCTGTCCACCATATTCTGCGTGAATCTGATCCACAAAGTATAGCATTGACTATTCGTCTTTGTGAATGAGGAAACAGAAACGAAACGTTAATGTAGTGAAAATAAAGAACCCTCATACCTAGTGAAAGAAAAAAAAAAGAAATATATGCGTCGTGTGGTGCATGGCATAAACAGGGGTCATCTACATCTCTGCACCACCTAGTGGGTATCAATGTTGATGAAAGAAAAGCTTCTATAGCAGACCTGTTTCAAGCTGAGCTATAATTGTCTCAAGGCGACACGTTTGACGCTAGCACTCTAAAGAGACTAAGCTGATCGTCGTTGACTCGCTTAATGATTAAGAGTCCAATTGGTCAGTAATAAATATTGAAATTAAAATAAATACCGTCCGTCGCCGCTTAGTTAATATCCTTAGCCAGAGCTATATACTTGCAAAAAATAGTATTTTTACACCTTGTTATTGCTTATCTCATCCTAGCCTATTGAAAGAGTTATGAGAATTGCAATGAAACAGTTTCTTGATCTGCTTATTCCATACGTGTTATATTTGTGCTGTAGTTCAAAACAGGTGTAAAGTACTTATTGTGACTAAATTTGGAGGGAAAGACCCGACGTCAATAATCTGAATGACAGTCAAATACCCGCATAACATGCCAGCAATAAGCTACTGGCTGTGGCACAAAACAACACGAAGAAAGACAGATTTTTAAATAGCTCTAAATAGAGGACGCCCACAACCTCACAATTACAACGCTAGGAAGGGAATTTTGAGCTAATCTACTGCTAATACTAATTTGTAAAAAGCTTTGGTTGAGAGTGATGCTGAAAAAAGTCCTGACCCACACATCGATGGAAAAATGATCGTGGCTGATTGTAAAATGTGGGGAACACTCCTGTTATCAGTGACTCTGTTGAGTGAGTAGCAACATTCTTCTTAGAAGATTTCATTTCGTAGAGTATGTCTTACAAGTATACCCTAAGAGTAGAGTCTATTGGTTTCAGTATAATCTTGGGAAAAAAGTAATAAAGCGGAAACTGAGACCGCTATAGCTTAGAATGGTTCTAGATTACGGTGTCTTTGGTTAAAGCCAACCTCATCAGCTTCTATAGGGAAGTCAGGAATAAAATAAAAAACAGCATTTCAAGAGATTTACTTAAAGGAGCGAGTTAAGCATAATGATCTCTATGCTAGAAACCCGATTTAACTCGCGCCAACATGTAAATGACGATGGTTTAATTTTAGCCTGATTTTGAAGTTAGAGATATGCAAATTTTAGAACAAGTTAATGGATCATGGATGACACTAAACTCTCCCAGATCTTGCCTCTTGCAAATTAGAGAACTTATTAGCCTAGCTAACAAAAAAATTTTAAGTCTTTTTTTTGAGAAAGGTCTGTCGGCTTCCTTTATTTCCTTTCCACTTTTTATTTGAATCTTAAATATTTATTTTATCATTGTTTTATTCCATGCCTTCTGTTGAATTAATAATAGGGGACAAACCAACGCCGCTATCGGAAATACTTTTTACACTCAGGAATATGATAACGTATCCCTCAGTGCCTTGCTACATAGGGTAGTTATGCCAACTTGCAGTTACCTTTTAATCATAGAAGGGTCACCTGTAAAGATCGAAGAGGGGATGATTTCTGGGCATACAGACAAAGTATAATTTATCTTTATAAACAAAGAAGTGCATTAATGAACTAACAGCTGCATATCCTTGAAAACAAAAAAAACAAAACAAAACAAAACAAAGTAAAACATCGGTGCCAATGATACATTATCATACAGACCAAATACGGGACGACAAATTTTTCTAGAAAGCCATAAAGATGCTTTGAAGTTTTAGGTGTGTCTGAGACTAAGAATTAGTGACATCCATTAGCTTCACGCTAGTTGAATACTTGTTGGGGTAAATGGTTTAATATCACACTTATTCTTAACTTATGCTTACACATTGCTTCATTAATAATCTATAAAGACTATTCTTTAACAGTTATATAAAGCCATATGGCGGCTTAGCCAAGATCTTACCCACTGAAATATAAATTACTTGCGAGGTAGGTCAAAGTTGACCATTATCGAAACGAGACGAATATCACGGTTGACGCCGGACATCCCTGGGCATTTATTTTACCATTATTGACTGTGTTTTGTATAGTTTTTGGTCGTCCTGATAGTTTGTTTTTGTCGTTTGGTTCGCTTATTTCGATCGTCTCGTTTGGTCGTATCGGTGGTTTCGCTTGTCTCTTTTCACTTTGCTTTTGCGAGTTTTAGTACATTTCATTCAACTTGGCTGTTAATGTTTGTCCAAAACCCATTTTTTATTCTAGGTCGAAAGGTCTAGTTAAGTGTGAGTGTGTAAACACGTTTGACTCGCGTGTATTTGTCAGGAATAATTTCAACCGAGGGGAGGGTTGCCAGGGAGACTTTTCAAAATCCGTCAAAACTGCGACTCGGGTTTGTCTGCCGTCATTGCATTTAGATAAGGCTTTGAGAACACGGAAAAATACTTCTTT